AATATAATATAATAAAAAATNTAATATAATAAAAATATAATATAAATATAATATAATAAAAAATNTAATATAATATAATATAATATAAAAAAATATAAAAATATAATATAATATAAAAATATAATATAAAAAAATATAATATAAAAAAATATAATATAAAAAAAATATAATATAATATAAAAAAATATAATATAAAAAAAATATAATATAAAAAAAAAGTCTAAAAAAAAATAATATAAAAAACATATTTAAAGCATGATTAAATAAAACACATCCAAATGAAATTGAAAAGTAGTAGCAAAAAGGGATTTTAAAATAGTGATACGTCGCAAGGGCATTTTCAAAAAATTTCAAAGAAAAGGCAGAAAAATATAAAAATAAGTATTCATAGCTAGAATACTTTCCAATTTTTATCAAAATGATAAAAAAAGAAAGGTTTAAAAACACGTTACAAACAAATCATTATTTCTTAGAATTTTATATATTTTTTGAAGGTTTTTAAAAATACCCTGCCATACCGGATCGGCCAGTGAGTACTTGGCTCCAGTTTGACCGGCCAAGTTTGTGAACATTGGTTCTATATTTTGCTTTCCATTTTTCCCAAACCGGCCGTTTGACCGGCGAGCCTAAAAATTCTGACAGAAGAAAAATAGAAAGCAAAATATAGAACCAGTTTAAACAATTCTACATTTTTGCTTTCCATTTTTCCTCGGCTCTAGTTTGAAAGTTCTAGATTTTTGCTTTCCATTTTTCCTCAGCTCCAGTTTGAAAATTCTATATTTTTGCTTTCTATTTTCCTCGGCTCCAGTTTGACAGGCCAAGCATTGGCTTTCCATTTTTCCTCTGCCAGAATCTAAATTTTAGTAATTTTTAGGCTTAGCATGGGTAATGGTACGACAAGGATCCTAGTCTATAAAAACATGAAAATATTACAAAATTAGGTACTTGTCCATCCCCGTCATTTCGAACCTTTCACCAACCACCCTCTATAAATTTACATCACCCAACCAAGTACCTCTCTCTCTCTAATGGCGTATTGGGCGCTGATCTTCCTTTTGGCTTCCTCTGTAATTGTGAATGCGACCAATTTTGAAGGTAAAAGACTGTAATGTAACTGTTTTCTATCACAGGAGAGGGTTATGAGCTCTCCCACTCTCTTCTGCACCACACTTTCATGATCATGTCTGGCTTTCTGGAATTGCAGGGGAAGCTCTGATGGCTCAGAGGGAAAAGCTGGTAGATCCTTCGAATGTGCTCGCCAGTTGGGATTCCGAGTTTGCAGATCCATGCCAATGGTTTCATGTCCATTGCAACGATGTTAGCAGCGTCATAAGCTTGTAAGCTCCTCTCTCTCTCACAAACATAATATTGTTCTAGTGAGAAAGTTTTCTCTCTCTCTCTCTC